TGTACAAAATGCTGAAGTCAAATTCTTGAAGGCGTAAAGCCCATCGAGCAAGGCGACCAGAAGGGTCTCGTAGGGTAACAAGCCAACATAATGAATGATGGTCTGTCACAATCGTGAATGGACGACCGTAGAGATAACATCAAAACTTCTGAATGGCGAATACAGCCGCTAAACATTCTAGCTCTGTCACCGTATAATTCATTTCAGCCTTGCTTAGAGATCCGACTCGTATAAGCAACAACATGCTCTGCATTATCATGGCGCTGAACAAGCACACCTCCGATGCCAATTCCACTTGCGTCACTGTGCAATTCCGTAGGAGCAGAAGAATCGAAATGACGAAGAATAGGCTCAGATGTCAGTAGAAGTTTCAGTTCAGAAAATGTGGCTTCACAATCAGGTGTCCATTTGAATGGCCTGTCTTTTCGCAACAAGCTCATCAGTGGGTGTACTACGTCCGCAAATCGGGGCACAAAGCGGCGAAAGTAGAAACTATGGCCCAAGAAGCTGCGAAGTTCCTTCAGTGTCTGGTGTAGTTTGAATCTGCCGACTGCTTCCGGGAATCTGGCCTGACACCATCTTTGTCAACTAGGTGACCGAGGACTAAAGCTTGTCGTTCACCAAACCGGCACTTCTTAGAGTTCAAAATCAAGCCAGCCTTTCCAACACAGTCTAAAACAAGGCTTAAACGGATGTTGTGCACTCCGAAGGTACGCCCAAAAATGACGACGTCATCCAGGTAGCATAAGCACACCTCCCATTCAAGACCACGAAGGACAGAGTCCATAAACCTTTCAAAAGTGGCGGGGGTGTTGCAAAGCCTAAACGGCATCACATGGAATTGGTACAGTCTATCAGGCATCACGAATGCGGTCTTCTCCTTGTCTGAAGGGTGCATAGGTATCTGCCAATATCCTGATTGTAGGTCTATTGAAGAAAAGTACGAAGCCGAGTGTAAGCAGTCAATAACATCGTCAATCCTAGGCAGCGGATATACATCTTTTTTGGTCACGGCGTTGAGTCTTCTGTAATCAACGCAGAACCGCCAGGCACCATCTTTCTTTTTAACCAAGATGACCGGTGCTGCCCACGGACTACACGACTCTTCAATGACACCCTTCTTCAGCATTTCCTGAACCTGGTTGGCAATAACTTTTCATTCTGATGACGACACTCAATAAGGCTTTTGTCGGATCGGATGGGCAGTGCTGGTGTCAATCCTATGGTGAGCGCGAGAACACGGTAAAGGTAGTGGCTTCTCCTCTTGGCAAAAGTCAAACACAGAAGCATGTCGCCTCAACAGATGGCGTAACGTCTGCTGCTTGTGTGACCGCAAAGTGGCGCTAATCATGCCTAGGATCTGCGACTCGTAAGAGCAACTGCACTTGCCAGAGACTGTACGTTTCTCGCTTTCATCGTTGTTAACGACCACTACAGAACCTTCAGTGGAATCATCGAAGACGCCAAGCTTCATTCCTCGAGGGAGCACAGCTGGCATTGGCGAACAGTTCAGTGCCCACAGAAAGGTTGCTCCTTCATCAACAGATACCAAACAACAAGGGACGAGTATGCCTTTCTTAGCACATTGAACGATGGCAGGTTCAACGATGGCGTCAAAAGATGTGGCAGATTCTGGGGCGAACACCGCAACTGACCTCATTGACCATGGCGGCACTGTCAGCTCATTGGAAACAATCAGAGCGTCCTTCGCGGCCTGCGGCGCATTATCGACGAGGGAAGGAACAATGTCACCGCTGACAGAAAGTTCACCGCTACCACAGTCGACGAAAGCCCCGCATCCTTGGAGAAAATCGAGACCGAGAATCGCATCGTGGGTACAACGTTGCGGCACAAGAAACTGTTGGGAACACCTTTCCTTCCAATAAGACATCGACGGCACAAACTCCGACAGGACGAAGTACTTCCCCACCAACACCACGAAACCTTGTTGATTCGCCCCAGGAAAACATAACTTTGCGGCCAATGTGACTTTTGAAAGAAAGACTCATAACTGATATTGTAGCACCAGTGTCCACCAAAGCACTTGTACAAAAGCCATCTATTTCCACCTTTATCTTGTTCTTGGACAGTATAACTGGCAGAGGCATATGAGGCAAATCCTGTTGTGTGACTTCACCTATATCGGTCGCGCTGGCTAGTTTCTTGGCGGCGGCGGTGATGACAGGCGTTGTCCCGGCGAAGGGGAACGATGCAGTCGGCCAGATGGAGGCGTCAAACTACGGTCAGAAGCGGGAGAACTGCCACGATGATTTCCCCGCCGTGAGGTACTCCTGGAATAGGCGGGGCAATGACCGTTGTTGTGACCAGTGCTCTGATGGGGAATGGTACCGGGATGTCAGCTCTCTGTCGACGACAGAACCGAGCTATATGCCAGGCGATACCGTAACGATAGCACACAGGGGCTTGGGGGTATGCATTGTACTCCTGGAAGGCATTGCGCTGACGTGGTGGTGGTACAGGTACATCTCCGCTCGGGTCGTAGTAGCTGTTGGCTGGCTGATGGGGGTAACTGAAGCGGTCTTCGTACCTCGGCAGCGGGTAGTTATTGCGCTGTGACCTCGGTGGTGAGGGTGGCCTGTAGTTGCAGTCATTGATGCCTGCTGCGGCAATCGACAAGGGAAGGCGAGAGGGAGGCGGTGCGGGTGTAGCTTCGTACGGCGTCGGGCGAGCGTGTCGAGTGAGCTCTTCTCGAACGATCTGGCGTATTGTCGACAAGCGAGATGAAGCGGCGTGTATTCATCAGCACTTGCCACAATGGTTACATTCGGTAGGCGACCGAACTTGGGGGTGATATGTCGCATCTTCAGGGTCTCGAATGTGCGACAGTGGCTTATAACGTCAGTTACCATAGCAAGGCTGTCTTTGCTGATGAGGAACTGATACACGTCCTCGGCAATGCCCTTCAAAAGGTGACCAACTTTGTCTTCCTCTGACATAGAAGGGTTGACAATCTTGCAGAGCTTCAAGATTGCCTCGACATAGGTCATGCACGTCTCTCCTGGGATTTGAGCTCTCTGCAGTAACATTTGTTCCGCTTGCTTTCTCTTAGCTATGGAGTCTCCGAAGCACGCTCTTATTTCGGAAACGAAGCGATCCCATGACGTGAGGGAATCTTCGTGGTTCTCATACCACACGAGTACTGTGTCTGTTCAGAAAAATACTACATTGGTCAGCTGTGTTGCCGCGTCCCACTGGTAGTACTTGCTCACCCGTTGGTAGTGGGAGAGCCAGGCGTCCACGTCCTCCAGATTTGCCACCAAATGTGCGAGGCACTATCAGATCCTGACGCAACCAGGGACCAGCCGCACGCGAACCTGGCACTAGCAGTGCTGCTGGGACTGGTAGAAGGTCTACAGCTGCGGGGATCCGGTTTCCTTCTTCGCCATGAGACATCTCAGCTGCCAGTGGTAACGGAGGCAGTCCAGCAAGGCGGCGGCTTCGTCGCAGATGAGGCGCTTAAAGCGTCGTGTTGCTTGGTTGATTACTTAGTGCCTCCACCACAAAACTGTTACGGTTGAATTAAAGGATAGGTGGATTTATTTACAGGGTGAGGATGAAGTTCAGCAGTCGCGGTAAAGATGGAGTCCTCAGGCCGCACCAGACAACGTCGTCCTTCCCTTCTACCTACCCGGCACATACCACAGCCAGGCTCATACCGTAGCAATATGGATAATGTGCCAATCTTGTCCCGTACATTGTCAAACACTTTCCGCCAGACACGTATGGCACATACCCATATATTATGGGTGGGTATGTGCCACTGGTGATTGACAGTTTGAATCTGCCCAGGAAAGGCAAGAACAGAAATTGGTCATTTTAACACAACAGCATTAAAAAAAATATGACATCGGCGCATTTACCAGACGACTGCGAAGAATAAATGTCAGGGTCTCGGCAAGAATCGAACCCCAGTTTTCTGCATGGCAATCAAGTATTCCAGCACGGAGCTACGCCAAGTCTCGGAACTGCTTTTCGAATAGTTCGTGAAATCTCAATTGTGGTTGCGGTGCTGGCTATCCAATTCTATAAATAGTATTGAATATGTACTTCTGTGATACAGCTGCCACGTCGGGTTAACATCAATTGTAGTGAACCGCCATCCACTGAAGATGATTTATGTAGCAGTGTCCTGGGCTACCATCCTTGCAAGCACAAGCACGACATATCAGCTTACCACTTCTGGAGTTGCTAATATCCATGTTACTATTGGCATTGTTACGCAACTGTAGAAACTGGTTAGCTATATAAAAAACTTATGTAGCTATATAAAAAACTTATGCAGCTGTTCAACGTGTATGTCTGTGCGTACAGTATTTGTGCACATTTTTAGCATAATTTCGTAACGTTTTTCTCAATAAAAGAATTAAAACACAGTCATCTTCCCTCCACACACTTCGCATCATCGATTCCGAAGGTACGTGGGGTCTACCAAATTTTTTTATCAACTTTTATTGCATGTTATGATTTGTGTCCTATTTGACAAAAATGCAGGCTGTTATACTCTCAAAGCACACAAAATAATTTTGCTCTTGTTTTCATCAATTCCAGACATTACGCCAAACACTGTATTGCTAGGATGCATGAAAACTTTTCCCAGAAACATAAATATTGCTGAACAGCAGTTGTAAAGAGCACAACAAAATTTTTCACTCTTGTTTTCATTAATTTGAGACATTATGGCAAACAATGTACAATCCAGCTGCATTGTTAGGATGCACGAAAGCTTTCCTACAAACATATCAATATCGCTGAGCAGCAGTTGTAATGTGTGCAACAGCGGCACAGTTCAGTTAAATTCTCTGTTTTCTTTATGCTTATTTTATTACACTGTGCAATACGTTTAGGTATAACTGGAAAGAAGGTAAGTTACACGTAGTATTGCTGTATATAGCAATTTTTTTCAATAGCAAACCATAAGAGTTGTCTTTTGAGGCCTAATCCTGCTAAGGTAAATAAGAAAAAACAGACAAGCAACTTACTGCATCAGTGAGAATGTCTTCAACATCATCAAGTTTGAGCAAGGCAGCTTTTGCAGGATCAATTTTGCTGTACGTGTTCTGTGTCATGTCTGCATGCACTTGCGTACTGCTTGTCACCAGCAGCATGTCAGTTCTGTGAAGAAATCGGCATATTATAAGCTTTGACTAATTTGTAAGTACACAAACTGATAAGTAGTAGTAGTAGTACGGAAAAGCATTCTTACTTTAAATTTTTCTTCAAGAAGCCAGAGATGTCACTTCGTCTATATTTAGGCAAAAAGAAAAAGCATTCTATTTTGCATACGTGCAATGCATAGTGCAATGCATACGTCACACTTCTCAGGTGCAACCAAGCGCTTTTTGATTTTCAGCATACAAATTATGCAATGCAAAATATATGCAACTGTTATAGAAAAACCACACAACGTACGTGAGGTAAGCTTGTATATAGAAATTCGAGTTTTTTCGGTTGACCTTTTGCCTCACGCTCTCGGCATAGCCAAGTGCAGAGTTACCCTTAGCTACTTTACTAGATGTTTCATCCGTGTTCTGCATAAAAAAGAGTGAGAGACATTATTTCACCGGTATATAATGTACACATGCATAAATCTATAAAAAAAATCAGCCATTCATTTCTGCCCTTACCACAAGCTGTGAAAGTCCACTTTGTTCCAGCAGCTTAGAAAGCACCTAAGATAAGGTGAGAATTTGTCAATAAAGGAAGTTCTTGCCATCATATTAAGATCTGCAAGTTGCTCTTCTTTCTTTTTACCTTGCCAAACTTGTGAAACACGAGGAAGTGTTCCATAGGTGGTGGACCAGACTTCTTGCCACCTTGGTACCAGTAGACAACCTGCATAAGCGTTTGATTGAATGTAATAAATGTGTGTGATATCTCCCAGTACACTTTATTAAGACCATTACCTGGTAATTGAAAAGCTCCACCAAGCTTGCTTCTGCACAAGAGCAGTGAATCAGAATGGATCCCAAAACAAGCTCTGGACAATTCACCTGCAGTAGACCAAATCCTATGCTAAGTATGTAGCACACCTGCTTAATGTTACACGAGATGTTCTTAAGCACTGCACTAATAATGTAAAGCAGGGGTGCTTGCAACCTATAACACTGAGCTCAAAGAAGTTTCTTCTAATTTTTTTTTTTTTTTTTTTTTTTTTTTGGCAGCTTTCAACTATGTGGCAAAGTTCAGGCAAATCTCTATGTAAGAACAGGCCATTTGAGCTCGGCTGTATGTGTCTACACATTGCCTTACCGTAAATCTGGCGAGGATGTTCGCCCCTGCTCCTTCGCCAAGTGCAACACAGTATGGAACCCTATCAAGATATCAAAGGCAAAAGTACATTGGTCCTGCTACTTATGACGGCAATGCAAACTATAACAAAAGATGAATGACTGCACATACTTGAAATAGTGCAACACATGGGCCATATCCTCAGCAAGATCATCCATAGATGGAAACTTGTAGCTGTGCAAATCAAGCCAAACAACTTTAAGTATAATGGCTCAACCATAATTATTTGCAGCAAATTAAAAGCAGAGACAATATGATAACTCACGGTATATTCAGCCGGTTCCTACAACACTGCAACTATGTTTGCAGCAATGCAAAGCACTCTCGTGATGGGGGCAAGAAAATGTTCACCTGAGCCGAACGTCATATTTGCTTCCAGAATAGACTCTTTTTATAATCCGCAAGTGCGCTTCCCTGCACTGTATATTTGCCCTACTTGGCGGCACCTGTCCTGCTTCAAATGGAGACAATGTCTTGGTTGAACATGCTTGGGTTCGTCTATTATGTGCATTAATGTCAGGAGAGCTGAGCCACATCATTGCCGACAGCAGGATTTGCTCTTGGAGGGTGCAAACCAGTGTTGCATTGCGGGGTTGGGGGGCTGGCTTGGGTGAGGGCAAGTGCTGGTGAGGCTTGAGGGGGGCCAGTGCCCCCTTTTCACCTCGCTGCCCATCTCCATGACCTACATTTTCCATATCATAGCACAAGTAAACTGCTTGCAGAAAGTGACTAGCCGCCATTAGTCGGGCAAACTGCATAGCAGGAAAGCTATTTTTACAATTATCAAAAGCACCTGACTGAAGGTGAGTAGGACAATATTTTTTCAGATCTCTGCAGTGCCCTCAGCTAGAACACAGCACTATGAATGAACCCGGTAAAAACGTTAGGCGCTCGTTTCCAACCAGGAAAATGTACATCACACCGAGAGTGTGCTTGGAAAGTGAATAGTCATATTCGTCATTTGACTGCAACCTTACTGGAGCTACTACCACATTATATATTAATCAGTTTGAACAGTAATACTAACTTTACCAACTTATAAATGCATACAAGTGCACACTTTAGCACATGTCTGAGTTGTAATTCCAACTCTTTGCACCTAATGCCTGTAATTGTGACTTCATTAAATTATATGCTCCTGAAATACTTCTGAATTGTGCAGCTGTTGAAAAATCCATTGAGAGTGGCTCTGGACATTGCATTTTGAGCTGTGCAGAGTCTATTGGTGCCACTAAATGTTATGAAGAAAGGACACTAACTCATCTGAGAGGTCTGGAGCATTGTATGCCTGTCCCGGAACTTCAATGTGCAAAAAGACAGACTTTTCACAAACACGTGTCATGCAAGGATGAGCTGCAAACTGAACAAAGTCCAAGTCTGAAAAAAAAAAAAAGTGAATTTCAATCCAAGTGTCCAGATGTGTTTGCCAATGTATTTAGTGTAAAACTTACAAGTTTCACCTATGTCGTGCACAGTCAGAAAGATTGGTTTTCTTGGGTTGATGGTGGAAAGGTCACCCTGCAAATTATCATTCGTTGATTGAGCCCATTGTATACAGTAATACTTGAAGGGTGTTTCAATGTCAAGGACATATATCGTACCTGCACGTGCACGCTTAAGCTTCCGCATCTTGGCGTTTTCACGACGAATGCCTGGATAGAGCGAATGCTTATTTAAAGAGAAGTTTGTCCAACTGGCTAGTTCATTAAATTTATGCTACCGTATATACATTTATTTCGGGAAAATAACATGTCGAGTAGATATCATGAACAGTACGCGAAACTGACACAAGCTGCAGAGCAGCATCAGGCGAATCGAGGGAATGTCATCATTTCTACATGATCGACATCAAAATCTGCCCCGCTCCTTCATGCGCAGTTGCGCAGGTATGACAACTTGACTTTTGCGCAGGTAGATGAAAGTGAGACCCCTCTGCAGCTTTGCTTAGAATGCTGAATGCACTCGACGTCACAAACACATGCCGTTTCCACTATATTAAAAGCGACGCCAGCGCTTTGCAGATTACGTGATCTGATCACCGAAACTAGCGACCCAGTGAGAACCACTGCGGAGAACGGCTGCCAATGTGCAGTTGCACTATCACACGGGATCATGCATCACTACACTTGCCTCAGTGTAGCAATCCTCAGAAATTTGTAGCCGAAGCGGCGGGATTTCACTGCTGTCACACATCATGAGGCTCCTTTTTCTGCCCTTTGCAAGCAAGAACCTAGAGGTGTTCACTGCCTAGTGCGCCTCCTCTGGATGCGCGTGCTGAAGCGTTGGTTGCTGCGTGCAATACCGCTACCCGGACTGGCTATTTAGATTATTTGTTTTTTTTTTCCGAGCAGTGTATTAAAAATGTATGCGCAAAACACGCGCGCTGAAGGCGCAGATACAAATTGTGATGATTTGTTAAAGAAACTGAGCAGATCAGGCGTCGTTAAAAGCATAGAGTTAGGAAACTCTATCATAGAGTAACATAGTATACACCACGGAGCAACGTTTTTAGAACAATTCTAAAAACGTTGCCACGGAGGTCCCTCCTCCGTGGTATACACACATGTTTTCTGTGTTACTCCATGACTCTATGGTTAGAAGCATAGAGGAAGAATTCTTTCCTCCATGGTTAGAAGGGCACCGGCTGTTGACGAAAACAGGGCGATGGCAGCGACATTGCGCCGTGAAGGAAGGATATTACGCAATCATCATCACCACCGGAAATCACTATGGGTCTGTGGCCGCGTCTGCGGTCACAGCTCTGGGATCATTCAAATTCTGTCTTATCGTCGTGCAAGTTGGTTCAGCATTTAGAGGAGTCCTATTGTCTCGAAAATGTCCACAGCTTCGTTCAGCGTGAAGTGGGCTGGGAAGGAGTATGTTATTCCTGACTTTCCGCTGCACGCCCGCATCATGGACTTGAAGCAAGCAATTTACGAAAGAACAGGAGTTCTGCCTGAACGGCAAAAACTTTTCGGCATGGCTAATTTGGCGGGTAAGTGATGTTGCGTTCGTTACGGCACCATGTCACCACGTGCCTCTTCGAAGTGATGTTTAGGTGTGCGCTGGGATTTCGTGCCGGCGTTTTGCCGGACAGGTTCGGTAGAAATACATTACGTTACTGAATGTGTCTGCAATTTATTGCTTCTGTTGTTGTTTTTTCTTCTTTGATTTCGAACGCGTCGCAGTCGCATTGCTTGATCGTGAAACTGTGCATGTGGATGATTACATGCCTCGATGAGTAAAAATAGTGTCTGAGCATACTCTTCCTCCGAATTTTGTTCGCGTTGTATGAGGGACACCTTTCTACTTGTCTAGAAATAAAAGCACATTGAAATATGTGCCCGTAGGATTGTGTGAAGTGCAACGCGCCATGTGCGCGCAGTCTAGCGTCTCAATTTTATTTGATCGAACGGGTATTATCACCCTGCCCTAAGTATGACTTCTCGGCAGGATGTTTGCCCTTCAGTATTAAATGCTGCGAGCTCGTGACAGCTCCGCGCGTCGTGTTACCTGTATTTTTCGAGTTTTTTTTTTCTTTTGTACGCATCGAAGTCGGCGCTATGCTATGAAAAAAAAAAGTGTGTTAAGTGGATGTGTTCAGCAGTTCATAGGTTGGTTCGTATAGACGTTCAAACATTATTATTGGCGAGTTTTTACCAGGTCCTTAGCAGGAGGGTGCGCAGAGAGGGGCAGCAACATCCCCCTAAAATTTTCGCCGGCTCCCCCCCCCCCCCCCCCCCATTATTATAAAGCAAACAAGTGGAAAAATCCTAGCGCTGCGACTGTTCTTGAGAATTTCTAGGACAGAGCTTTTTCGATAAGTGCAATCGCGCTTTGTAATCTCTTTCGATCTTTTAATCGCGCTTTGATTGAAAGTGTAGCCTGATATTATTCGGCAGTGGTTGCCAGCCTGCTCGCGCGGCAACCTGCAATTAGGTTCGGTTGAATAAAATGTGCCTTCTCGGAATTTAGTTTCGTAGTGATTCCTATTTCTGAGCACTTGTCACTGTAGACAAAGCTTCTACATGCAGTGTGCTTTACAAAACTAGCAGTGCTCGATAGTATACAGTTTTGCATATACTATCGATGACGGCTAAAAGTAGACCTGCGTAAGAAGGTAATGCATTTAGTCTTTCGCCAGCTGTATTTCTTACTCATTTAGTTTTTTTCTACTCTCTCTCCTCCCTTTCCCCCTAGGAAAGACAGTATCCGAGTCAACTCGTCTTCTTGATCTTAAACTATCGCCACATGTCAGGATCATGATGGTTGGGAGTTCGGAAAAAAGTATTCAAGATGCATCTACTCCACCGAAGACTCTTCCAAATGTGATCAATGATTTGGATGACTATGGAGATGACAAGGAAATACCTATTGAAAACTGTGAAGAGTTCAATTGCAAGATTGAAAACCGAATCAAGAACTATAAAATTAAGTGGATTAATAATTCGAGGCCTGGCAAACGACTTCTTGTTCTGGACATAGACTGCACCATCTTTGGCAAGTGAAAGAAAAGCTTCTGCTGAATTTTCAATAATTAAGGTTTTTAACTAATTAGTTCCAGAGAAGAAAAAATAATCTCTTGTATGTCAAGTAATGTTGTTAAAAAACTGAAAATATTGCTGGACATATGCCACTTCGAGTGCTTTCCCGCTGGTAGGTGCAAGTTTGTGCTCCCCTTCTTTTGTGTTGGGCAGAATAAATCTATGCTGTTAAGCAGCATGGATTTATTCCTATGAGTACCTGACTTCTCAGGCGCTCATGAAGGTACCATTGATAGCTAGAATATATGGGGAACTGCATGGTGTAAGATGTAATAAAAAGTTTGACTTGAGATCAATCACATTAGAGCCTGTATGTCTTGAAGAATACTTGTAATAACATCACAAACTAGCATGTAAGAATTTAGTGCCCACTGAAATCATCATATTCAACATTTAATTTTTATGTGCCCAAGTTTTCTCTGTTTGAAAATACTGTCAGATGGATTTTTTGCATTGTAAGCATGAATGTATTTTATATATTGTGCTGCCTTATTTGTTAATTTACTTATTTACTTTGTTATACTGCATGGTTGGCTCAAATCTCAAATATAGACCCCCCCCCCCTTTTTTTTTTTCAAATGTTGTGAGCAGCCATGGTAGTCTAGTAGCTAAGGCACTCGGCTGCTGACCTGCAGGTAGCGCGATTGAATCCCAGCCGTGGCAACAGCGTTTTCAATGGACGCAAAAATGCCCGAGGCCTGTGTGCTTAGATTTAGGTGCACGTTAAAGAATCATAGGTGGTCGAAATTTCGGGAGCCTTCAACTACGGCGTCTCGCATAATCGTGTGGTGCTTTTGGGACGTTAAACCTCAACAAATATTATGTTATGTCCAAACCTTGTTTAATGCATTAAGTTAAGTTTTCTTCTCAAGCTTGAAACGTGTAAATTTTATTCACTCTCTGCTTAAGAGCACTCTTCCGTTGCACGGAACTGACTGCATAAGTCTCCAGAAGGATTTTTTTTAATGCGACATTTCTTAGTCAGGCTATGTCAGGCATCTGGTGTTGTCCGCGTTAGTGTATGCGCGCCAGCAGGTGTTCTCTCTCCGCTCTCACTTCCTCTCTCATAGCGACAGCTGCGGGCCCACCGTTCGCTCTCTCTCCTCTCCGCGTCCCACTTTTCGCCCCCTCACGCCTCACTCTCAACCGTTCGCTGGCTGGGCGCCTCTTAAGAACATCCGCAAGCGTATGCTCGAGACGCCACTGTGAAACTCCTACACCGAGCTGAGAACGTTGTTTGTTTTGTTCACTTCGTAGTATTTTTTAACCGTGCATGCTAGCTACTAGAGCTGGAAATGCATACCGTGTTTCTCGCGACAGAAAAACGGCACTATTGGCTGCACGGTGTAAGGAAAAAAAAAATTTCTTCTAACGCGGTTTTCTCGCGTGTTAAATGCCGGTATGGATGCTACGCAATGCATTCGCATTTCTTCACGATTCCCTTTGGGGTGGTAGGGCCATTTTTTGTGTCTAGCTTCATTGGGTGTCTTCACGAGTGCTTAATATTTGAGTCCTAAACTGGTCACCAACACCTCCACCACAAAACTGCTACGGTTAAAGTGGAAGGGTGTTTATTTACAGAATGAGATTGATGATCGGGTAATGATGGTGCCAGTAGGCGGTACCAGTGCAAGTCTTCCTCCTTTTCTCCTTCCTAAGCTCATACCCATTGCAATATGAACATTCGTACAAAAAAAAAACGACGATACACATGCAGGAGGTGGTGAGATAGTATTCTCCGGGCAACAGAAAAATTTCTAATTCAGATGACAGAACTTGTAACAAATAGACCTCGCTGACGTTCACACATTCATGGTGTCACAAGAAACCATCAGCGAGTTCGTGGTATGTAATCTTTGTCATCCTTGATTGCAGATCATCGAACCCCTGCTCAGTCCGTAGCCGAGCTGATGAGGCCTTTCCTTCATGAGTTCCTAACTTCAGCATATGAGGACTATGACATTGCTTTTTGGTGTGAGTATTTTCAATCTAATATGCATAATAGTTAAGATGTTTCAATGAACAAGACTTTTATTTTTCTAGCTGCAGTGTATTAACGCGATAAGTTAGGTGAAAAAGGGGGAAAAAATGGTCCCGTTGTACTAGTTGTAAAACTTGTGCTACTCTCCCTAAAAGACCATCAGGTTTCTTTAGGAAGTGTAGGAAATAACAAACAGCTCAGCAATGTCTTCTTTGTGTTCCTTTGGTCTTGGTCCTTTATCCTGTTTTAAAAACACTGTCAAGGTGAACCAACTTGCTCGAATTACTGCTAGATTAGTATTCTGTAGACTGTCCATGTCGGCATGCTCTGAATAATCCCCGAGAGCCTGCAAACTGGCAACAGTGGTGGCTGCAGGCTCTACACTCAGCACTTTTTTGGAACTCTCGTTGGGCACTTAGCATTCTTGTAGTGTGTGGTGTAAAATATGTACTCTTAATAGTTACATTGCATTTTCAGCATTCAGAATTATTCCTATGGTTACACAGTTTAGCTTATTGTATTTCTAAAATATTCTAGTAGGGTTACTTAGCAGAAAGATTTGATGTGCGTGAGTGGAATATCAGCAACCAGAGTACATTCCAAGATTTGGATAATATACCATGCGCACTAGTGTCTCGCCTGTTTGAATGTTATCTGTTCTTAAACGCATTTATTCAATGTCGTCCCTCTCTTATCACCTTTGCCACCTCAATGTTCCGCACATATAAAAGTATGCAACAATGTTACCCAATGCAATTTCAAATAAATTTGGGGGTATCTATGCACCTACAGACCCTAAAAGCATGCTATGACCAGAAAAGCTCAGTTAGATGTCTTTCTGTGGAGATGCATTAAAATATATATAAAAGTGCACTTGTTTCAAAAAGGGTTCAATACAGGAATAATATTCAACGCTTTCTTTGGAACGTTTGTTGTTAGCACTGAACCCCCTCATTCACTTGTAGGATGGCTTCCGTTCCTTTTGCTTAGTCCACTGAGCAACGCTTTATGCGGCATATGTTTTTTTTTTTTTTCACCCGGTGTCTTGCAGTATTATTTACTTAAATCGGTTTAAAACCTTGAAGATATCTTGCGGAATGCTTCGACGAAGGAGCCTTAGTCGATCTCATGCATAGCAGTGTGGCAAAAGACTAAGGTGTGGCAAAAAGGTAGTCCAAAATGGGCCTTTCCTTTTGAGTTTTAGAGTTAAAGTGACGCAAAGAGAAATGGTCACTTGGTTTAGTAGCTGCACTCTGAGAAATATCATAAGTTTCAGTATTGTAAGTTCATTGTTGGCGAAAAAAAAACCAAGGTTGAAGTTTCAGTTTTAAATATCTTACCGAAATCTTCACGCGTGGCTTTAAAATTTTCAAAATGCGTTTTTCTTATTTTTGCCATAATGGCTCGACAAAATTTTCGGAAACTTCATATGTTACATTTGTGGTACCCTCTGCCCCGCCGCGATGACCTAGTGGCTATGGTACTCGGCTGCTGACCCGCAGGTCGTGGGTTCGAATCCCGGCTGCGGAGGCTGCATTTCCGATGGAGGCGGAAATGTAGGCCCGCGTGCTCAGATATGGGTGCACGTTAAAGAACCTCAGGTGGTCGAAATTTCTGGAGCCCTCCACTACGGCGTCTCTAATAATCATATGGTGGTTTTGGGACGTTAAACCCAACATATCAATCATTCAATCAGTCATATGGTACCTTCAGATGACAATGTGCTTCATTTGTGCCGATTAGAAACTGTGCATGACCCGGTAGACGCCTTCAAAATCTATGACGTCACGAGGTTTGGTGCGGGAATCTCAAGGTGGCGTCGCCACCCGCATTTTCTTTTTGCCCAATTTATCACTGAAAAAGCGTCGTCTTAAGGCAAGAGTGATGTTTTCAGGATTCTGAAATTGTACATTACTAATATGGCGAAAAATAATTTTTCTCATTAGTGCCCCTACTGAAGGGCCAGTAAACAGGCTCAGACCATTATTTTTTACATCTCCCCTCCCTCAAACGAGCTCGCCAACTCGTACAGTAGACCGTGGCAATCACATTTTTCTAAAATTACAGCACTGCACACCGTGCGAATCCTCCAATTCGAAATACGATTTCCATGCTTGACGAAACCCGCTCGTGCGCGCAGTGACGCAAATTTGAGCATCGGCAACTTGATGTACCAGTGAGTTTGTCGATTGGTCTTTTGCACTGCAAAACGGCCCGTTGGCCCTGCGGTGATGCAAGGGGCCGTGCAGTCTGCATTTCCTTTTTCCGTGCTGTCCTCTGCCGATTTGGGGAGCCCGAAACTACCAGGAGAAGCGGCGTTGCCAGAGCGAAAGTCTTGAGATAAAGAGGCTTCTTGCCATTTCACCATTGTGGGAAGGGTGCTCCTCGAACCACTCTTTCTTCTTGTGCTGCTATGACATGTGCTCATGTGGGGGAAGCCCTGCTTAGTCGTTGACGTATTGGTGACGTATTGCTGATGTCTTATAATGTTGCCAAAGTGGGTGGAGTTATGATAAATGGGCTACGCCTTTCCCTCCCTATGACGAAAGAGAGTCAAGAGGCCGCGAGGAAATTCGAAACTAGCTGAAACGAACGTTTCAATTCCTAACTTCCTTATTATAGCATGAATTCTTGCAGCAGCATGTACCTTGCAAAAGTGCACATATTTCTTTTTATGACAATTTTTGTACTTAGGGGTTGTTTACTGGCCCTTTAAAGCCATCCCAGTGAGATAAGCAAACGCAGCTTCATTGGGATCCCAAGCTGTTTATTGTGATTAATATGGGGCGTGACTTTACAATGGTTACTGTGCACAAACCTAAAGCATCAAAAATGCCAAAACAATAATAGCATTGCTGAGGTAATGCTCATGCATATGCACAAACAAAAGCACACCAGAAAGGCCAAAGATGATGTCAGATGGTAGGTTGTCGTGCTCCAACCATTGCATCCGAACACAAATTTCTTGCATACACTCAAGCATCAGGTGTGTAGCTACTTCCAGTTTGCAACTATAGCAAGAGGCATGTGAACCACTCTATGCTTACTAAAACGGTCCAACTCTATGCTGGAAAGGACAGGCATTCGTCCCTAACACCGACACAGCACTGTCACTGCGGGACACTCAAAGCGGTGCCCAAAATCTGAATGGTCGTGTGCCACCAACAGGCCTATTGCTCCAGAAAACAACCGCTATATACCGCATTGACATGGCACAAGGGTTAGGCCAATGGAAAACCGTGAAGAGCCATCAGAGGAAAAGAGCGGGAAGATAAAAGAAATAAAATTGTGACAAGCATGCGGCTTTGTTTGTAATTTACTCTCTAAGGTGCTCACTGAGATGGGAGAAATTGACCCCACGGGATTAGAACTGCACTGTACGAAGCATCCCTATATTTCTTGTCTTTTAGCAGTCTGACTATCTGCTCTTGTGCTGCCTTCTCAGCCATGGCAAAAAGAGATCCAAGAGTGTGTTCACTTGGCAATATACTTTAGACTCGCATGCTAGATGTCAAGAGAATGAAAGGAGAGACAGTATTCTACGAGTCAAGCAAAGGATGTAGTTGCACGGCTATGTTCAACTGTTGGCGTCGTCTTTGTGGCATCGTACAGCAACATTTTTTTGCTTTCATGTTGTAGGTACAGGTCGCACCTGTCTTTGTTTTAAAGTTCTTAGCATTTGTGTAAAAATTTATTCTGCCTACATTTATGATGTTGAAGGCCTAAAACATGGTTGCCTGCCTATTTTTGGCACTTAAAGTGCGCTTCTTTAATGCCTAAAGATGTGGCCTCTAGTGATGACTATGAAAGTAAGCAGGCGTGTTGAAGAAAAGAAAGTGCCAAAGGTCATTTGTATACTGACATTGCTTATTTCCCCCCTTGTCAACCTCTCGCCTTGTGTAGCTTTCAGCATTCTCGTCAGAACAAATGGAGAGAGCAAGCATTTACAAACATGTGACAAATCCCTGTAACCCTTTTTGTATTTGATGAATTCAAAAAAAATTTTTGTGGCAATTGATTTATGAGGTAACTCTTGATAGTGAAGTCATTTTATGATTACCAAAAAAAAACTGTTCTAGGTTTCCTTTAAAGATGAATAAAACAGCTTTTATAGTTTGGTTTTGATCATCATATGTGACATATTGCCAGTAAATAGCACGATCACGAATAAAATGCAAGTGGGGTACCTACCTTTGGTATCTACGAAAAAAAAAAGATATATTTTACTATTATAATACAAAGCATTGCAACTGTAAACAACAAAAGGAAAGCAAAGCCTGTAATACTTTAGTCATGGTTGCAGCTGTCAGAATATAATAAGAAATAAGTACTTACTCAATTGCTGGTTGTCATCCATGCTATCAGAATCACTGATAGACTGCACATTAAATATGATTATGACACTATAAAAGATGTCAAAGAGTCCCATGCATCACGAATCAGTCATGCAATTTCACAGACAAATGGTTGCTTGATGTGACCGGTGTCGTAAGTTGACTATTGCTGCCTTCAAGCCACTGCTAGCCTTCCTAATGTACAAAGTCCTTGCTTGGCTTTTTTATACATACAGTTGAATCTCATTAATTTGAACATGCTTATTTCGAACTTACGGTTAATTCGAACTTACTATGAGGTCCCGTCAAAGCTATGTGTATTCCAGTGGGCGAAAACGGCCGGTAATTCGAACGCGCAAGCACTTGCAACAGTTAATTTGAACGTACCACGCTCTGAAAATGCTCTCAGCACCCCGCCCAATCCCGCGGCGGCACCTCCGACATCTGAATGCTGTTCGCAAAGAAAAGGAGAAGGAAAGAAAAGGCTGCGGTGGAATGTTTTCTCTCTCAAATGCCGATCTGCTACGCGCCTGTGCCACGCTTCGCCCTTTTGCGCCTCTGCCACATAAAGACTCTCCTCCTTCCAACGCCGCGCGCAAAGAGAGAGAGGGGAAAAAAGAAAGCTGTCACGGTGGTGGGGGGTAGTGAAAAACTTTACT